AAAAAAAAAAAAAAAAAAAAGAAGTCAAGGTGAGGGAACCAGCAGTTAGCATAATGGCTATGTCGCTGGACTCCCACGTAGTTGACCGCAGTTCGCGTCCCGGACCCGGTGGCTTAAAACTCACGCCAGGCGCGTGTGCGTGCGCGCCCAAGATCCCGGGAGGAGAAGGGATTGCGGCGTGACCATCCCCTGGGGGGTGATTTCTCGCTTTCTGTCTCTATGTCTCTCTCTATCTGGCGAGCGCACGCGCCCTATAGTGAAAAAAAAAACCTCTCAAAAAAAAAAAAAAGAAGTCAAGGTGACAGAGTATTTGAGGGTCTGGGTCACTCTCTTTCAAGCCCTGCAATGGCTTCACAGTATGAGGCAGAGTTCTATCGGACCTGCAAGGACCTACATGATCTGGACCCTATTACTCATTTGTTCTCTCCCCTGTTCTTGTTCCTAGTGAGGTCCACTTTAGTCTTCCTATTTAAAATGGGAACTCTACCCAGCCCTGGAATTCCTGACCTTCTAAAGGAGTTTACTGTTTCATTTTTGTTCTTTCTATAGCACTCCTTACCTAGCACCATCCTATATAATTTTCAGACACACACATATTTTGTTTTATTCTTCATTGTTTCCTTCCTCTGGTAGAATGGATACTTTAGCAGGGCAGGAGGCCTTGTGTGTTTTGTTCACAGCGCCTGGAACAGCCAGGGACACTTCATCTGTGCTTAGAGTATACACTGGGGCCAGTAGGTGCATAGTTGTCAGGGCGCCAGACTCCGGTATGGTTGACCACCATTGGAATCTTTGACCTGGCAGCTTGCTTTTTCACCTTCCCTCTCTCTCTCTCTCTCCTCTCTCTCTCTGCCCTATAGCAGATTTAAAAAATAATCATAGGGGCCCAGCAGGTAGCATGGTGGTTAGGACACTGGATTCCTATATGGATGACTATAGTTTCAGTCCCAGACCTGGTGGCTCACTTTCTCATTTTTCCTCTCTCTCTCTCTGTGTTGGTGAGCACATGTGCCCTATAGCAAATTTAAAAAATAATAAAATGAATAAAACTAAATAAATAATTTGTTTTCTTTTTTTTTTTTAAGGAGTTTTTGTTTGTTTTGTTTTGTTTTAGAAAGAGACTTTTGCTATAGGGCACGTGTGCTTGCCAGGAAGACAAACATGAGAAATCACCTCCCAAGGAGAATGGCCATTCCACTATTACTTCTCTATTCTCTGCAGTCCTTTCTCTTACATTCTTCTCTTGGGATATTGGGCACTCACACACATGTGCACAGCGTGAGTTTTAAGCCACTGCATCTGGGACTCGAACCATGTTCAAATATGTTGGAGTCCAGCAACATAGCCAATCTGCCATCTGCTGGTCCCTACATAATTGTTTCTTTCTTTCCTTTTTTTTGGACAGATTTTTGCTATTGGACACATGCAGTTGCTGGAGAGACAGAGAAAGATAGAGAAATAAAAAGCTACATGGCCACACGGCAATCCCTTCTCCTCCACTTTCCTATGGAGATTTTGGGCACACACACACAAGCACCCACCGTGAGCTTTAAACCACTAGATCCGGGACGCATACCGCTGTTGGCTCCATGGGAGTCCAGTAACATAACCATTTCACCAACTGCTGGTCCTTCTTCTTTTTCTTTTTGGAGAGGTTTTTGCTATAGGGCATGTGTGCTCGCCAGAAAGAGACAGAGACAGAAAGCGAGAAATCATCCCCCAGGGGGGATGGCCACACCACAATCCTTTCTCCTCCATTCTCCTTTCGGGATCTTGGGCACACATACACGGCCAGCATGAGTTTAAGCCACTGGGCCCGGGACTCAAACCACAGTCAACTACATGAGAGTCCAGCGACATAGCTATTACACCATCTGCTGGTCCCCCCGTCTTCCTCTTCTTCTTTTTTTTTTTTTTTTAAGAAGAATTTTATTTAACTTTATGTATGTATTTATTTTAATTTGACCAGAGAGGGACAGAGTGAGAGAGTAGGAGGGAGAGAGAATGAGCCAGGTCTGGGACTCGAACCACAGTCAGCTATGTGGGAATCCTGCGCCCTCAACCACCATGCCACCCGCCATCCTCCCCCAGATAATTATTTTAAAAATAAAAAGAAAGAGTATGTATTGACAGATTAGCCTGGGGTCTGGTAGTTATAGGAGCCAGATCTCACATAGCCTACCTCAGATCAAACCCCAGCCCTAGGTGGTTGGGTGCATGTGCATGTGTGCCCCATATCCGTAACAGGATGGAAAAGTGGAGGAGAAGGGTCTGTGGTGTGACAACGTCCTGTTGGGGCATATTTTTCGTGTTTTCTCCCTCTTTCTCTGTCTCTGGTGACTGTATGTACCCTCTGGGTGGTGGTGGTGTGGGGGGGAGAATACATGAAAGACTCTCTCACCTTCAGGGTTCTTGTGCAGATGCTTCAGGGGGGCACTGGACTCCAGACTTCGGCTCTCAGTTTTGTCAGGTGTAGACGGCTCTGAACACAGTTCCTGAGAACACTCTGGTAGCAGGTAGTGACATTATAGTGGGGGGATCAAGGCACATTTATGTGACCAGCATACTCAGGCAGCTCTCCACACTTGAACCCGGAACCTCCCCATGCAGAGTATTATGTTCTACCCCATATTCTCCTGAAGACTCACTTTTCTTTCCCTCTCCCTCTGTGAGATACTCACCACAGTCCTCATATATGGTGTCGGGGGAGCAGGGAAGGGGGCCTGGGGTGGGGAAGGCGCCCAGCCAGCGCTGCATGTCTGACCTGATGGGGATAGAGGGAGGGATCAGAGTTGCCCCAGGAGATCCTCTTGGGGTTGAGGCAGGGTCCACAGAGAAGAGGTCTCATAGATTTTCTTTCCTCCTCCCCCTCCCCCTCTTCCTCCTCCTCCTACTTCGTCCTCTTCTTCTTTGTCTTTCTTGCTTTTTGTTTGTTTGTTTTTTGTTTTAAAATTTATTTCTTCCATGAGGGAGACAGTCAGACATACAACATCCCCACAGGGACTCCATGCCATGACCCACCCCCTCTCATCCCCTCTCACCCCTCCTCATCTCCCCTCCCCATGCCTCACCAGCCCCCATCACAGCCCACATATGACCAGCATACTCAGACAGCTCTCCACACTTGAACCCGGAACCTTCCCATTCAGAGTATTATGTCCTACCAATGCCCCCTAACCTCACTCATCCCCCTGGTTTTGTTTTTTGTTTTTTTGTTTGTTTTTGAGAGAGATTTTTCTATAGGGTGCATGTCCTCTCCAGAAAGACAAAGAAAAAGCACACACACATGTGACAAGTATGTTTCAAGCTTCCAGGGCCGGGAATTAAACCAGGGGATGTGACCATTATGGCACAAGCTGGCCCCACTAAGGGTGTTTCTGAAGGAGACACAACTCACAGGGAGGAAGCTTGGAGTAGCCTGTGCGTGGGTCGACCCTGGTGGTTGCTAAGAAGAGAAAGGCGGAATGTAGGGGGTCCAGATGGGTCTGGAACCTGCTGGGCTTGGACCAGGGAGCGATGGGCGTAGTCCAGAACCTGTAGTCGCTGCCCACTGCCCAGGGAAGAGGCCATTCAGAAGGAGAGCAGGGATCCAGCAGAGGCCTCCTCTCAACCCCAGCCTGGACTCTCTTCCTCCCTCCCCAGGACCCACCTCTTGGGCTGGGTGATGAGCAGCAGATCACTAAAGAGCAGCAGGCAGAGGGGAGTGAAGCGGGGGCGGGAGGTAAAGAGAACGCCCCCTCTCCGGCACCCTAGCTCAGTCAGCTCCCCCTGCAATTCCAGACGCCTGGACCACGAGACCAGGGGCAGAGCCTGCGAGAAAGCAGAGAAGATTCGGTCTTCTGGCTTCATAGTATTGCAGGGAGAGGAAAGGTGAGGGGTATGGGCAAGGACTTACCTTCACTTTGTGGAATCGCAGCCTTTGGGTGAGCCGGATCAGCTCCTCAGTCTGCTTCATGCGCCCCACCTCCGCGCTGCATCTCTCAATGATCTGGATAAGGGGAGCCGAGTCACCTTCCAGCAGCCAGCCCCTGTTTCTGTTCATCTCTCTCTACCTACTGCCTTGTCACATCTCTGATCCCCAGCTTCCCTCCTGCCTACCTTGCTGACAGCATTCAGGGCCTTTTGGGCATTCTCCTGGCGGCTGGACCCCTCCTCTGTCTGGTGCAGGATATTCTGGGGATGAAGAGGAAGAGGAATTGTGAGGTCCTAGGATTCAGAAGGGTCACAGCTCAGAGGACCCTGCCTGGCTCTGTGAAAAGTTCAGTTTGGCATTCCCAGGACTGAGGGACCAGCCACCATAAGGCCAGGAGATCAGTAGCATTATTGTGAGGATTCAAGGAGATAATGTATATTGAGTGCTTAACATAAGTTGTCACCTAGTAAATGCTGAAGAGAGGGTTTAGGTGTTGTTGTTTGTTTGTATTTATTTATTTATTTATTTATATTTTTGGGATTTTTTTACTATAGGGTGTGTGAGTTCTCCAGAGAGACAGAGAGAAGGAAAGTGAGAAATCACACACCCCCCGCCCCCGGGGCGGAATGACTACACCACAATCTCTTCTCTTCTATTCTCTTCCTGGGATTTTGGGCACACATGCACACATGCCTGGCATGGGTTTCTAGCTGTCCAGGATTCAAACTGTAGTCCGTCATGTGGGAGTTCCACACCTTAACACCATGCCACCTGCTGGCCCCAAAAACAGATTTTTAAAAAAATAAGGGCCGCAAGTGGTGTGGTGTTTAAAGGTGTTGGATTCCCACATGGACAACCATGGTTCCAGTCCTGGACCTGGCTGCTTCCTCTCTCACTTTCCCTTTCTTTCTCTCTCTGTCTCTATCTGGTCAAATTAAGTAATAATATTAAAACAAATAGAATTAATTAAATAAATAATTTTTAAAGAATTATTTTAATTTTATTATTTCAATTTTACCAGAAAGAGACAGAATGAGAAAGAGAGAGAAAGTGAGAAAAGAAGTCGCCAGGTCTGGGACTCGAACCATGGTTAGCCATGTGGGAGTCCAGTACCCTTAACGGCCATGCCATCTCCGAGCCCCCGCCCCCTTTTTTTAAAGATTTATTTATTTATTTAATTCCATTTGTTTTGTTATTATTTTTTAATTTGACCAGAGAGAGAGAGAAAGGTCAAGTGAGAAAGCAAGCCACCAGGTCCAGGATTCAAACTGTGGTCAGCCATGTGGGAATCCAGCACCTTAACTACCAGCCACCTGCCAGTCCCAATAAATAATTCTTTACAAGTAAATAAGTTTTGCAGGAACAGCAGATGGTGTAATGGTTACATTATTGGACTCCCATGTAGTCGATCATGATTCAAGTCCTGGCACTAGAGGCTTAAAACTCATGCCAGGCGTGTGTGTGTGTGCTAATATGCCCACTAGCAAAATTAAAAACAAACTACTTCTTTCTCTTGTATAGTAGAGATGATCTTGACTAGAAATAAGAGCTTACAGGACAAAAAAATTGGCCTTGAATAATTTTTTAAAAATCCAAATTCTTTAAATGTATGATGAAATTATTAAAATGCCCAATCTTGGGGCTGGCCAGTGGTGTGGTGGTTGAGGTACTGGACTCCCACATGGCTAACTGCAGTTCAAGTCCTGGATCTAGCAGCTTGCTTTCTCACTTTCCTCCTCTCTCTCTGTCTTTCTCTGATCAAATTAAAATAATAATAAAGAATAAAGTTAAATTTTAAAAATTATTAAATAAATAAATAAATTCTGCTGTAGGACCTGTGCACTAGAAAGAGAGAACCAGAGAGACAGAGAGGGAAAAATAGAACATCACCTAGGAGGGATGGTCACGCCATGATCTGGGCTCTTTCATTCATTACTCGGCATTTTGGACACACCCACGTGTGCCCTGCATGTTTTCCAAGCTCCCTGATCCGGCAGCTTGCTTTTTTACTTTCACTCTTTCTCTCTCTCTGTCTCCCCTTTTCTCTCTTTGGTGAATACATGTGCCCTATAGCAAATTTTTAAAATAATGATAATAAATACAAATAAATAGGAACCAGCAGATGTCATAATGGTTATGTCACTAGACTCCCACATGGCCAACTATGGTTCAATGCCCAGACCTGGCAACTTGAAACTCATGCCAGGTGCATGTGCATGTGTGCCCAAAATCCTGAGAAGAGAATGGAAGAGAAGGCATGTGGCATGGCCATCCCGCCCCCATCCTGGAGGAGGGGGGTTATTTCTCATTTTCTGTCTGTCTCTCTAGCAAGTATATGTGCCCTATAGCAAAATCTATCTATAAATAAATAAATAATTCTTAACAAAAATTTTAAAAATCTGTTTATGTGCCATGGCCCTTTAGATTACCGCCATTTGAATAGCTTCATTTATTTTTTTTAATCTGCTAGAAGGGTGCATATGCTCACAAGAGAGACACAGAGAGACAGAGAAAGTGAGAAAGGACCACCTTATTGGGCATAGTCAGTGTGCAATCCATTTTCTTCCACTCTCCCTCCTTTCGGGAGTTTGAGCACACACATACATGTATCCTGCATGTTTTTCAAACCCCCGCGTCCAGGACTTAAGCAGCATGGCACAGTCAACCATGTGGAATCCAGGCACCTTTACAACAATGCAGACCCCTATTTTTTTTTAACCCCAAAGTACCAACGTTTGCCCCTTGGAGTTGATATCACCATGTTAGGAAGGCATGTAGACAAACACAACAGGAGGAGACCTGGAAGATCACCCCCTGCATTCCTCCTGAGACTCAGAGAGGAGAAGGGACTTGCCCAAGGGCACTCAGCTAGTTAGAGGTGGAGCTAAGTCTAGAACTCCTATCTCCAACCACAGGCTTTCTTCCTGCACCATGCTGCCCCCCTGAGGGATTTGGACGTTCCAGGTGGGGCCTGGTGGGGCCAGAATAAAAGGCCCTCATTAGGAGCTGTGATTGGCGGTTTCTGTGTTTGTTCATGGTAGGATAGAAAATGGTGATGAGGGGCCGGCAGGTGGTGTGGTGGTTAAAGGTGCTAGATTTCCACATGGCTGATGGCGGTTTGAGTCCTGGACCTGGTGACTTGCTTTCTTGCTTTCCCTTTGTCTCTCTCTCTCTGTCTTTCTCTGGTCAAATTAAAACATAATAATAATAATAGGGGACATCAGGTGACACAGTGGTTAAAGCGCTGGACTCCCACATGGCCGATTGTGGTTTGAGTCCCGAACCTGGTGGCTTGCTTTCTCACTTTCTCTCACTCTTGCTCTATCCCTCTCTGGTCAAATTAAAACAAACAAACGAATAAATAAATAAAGTTAAATAAAAATAATTATTTAAATAATGATCAATTGAATTAAATAAATAAATCTTTAAAAAAGAAAACGGTGATGAACAGACAAGGGATCCTTGGGGAAAGCTCCCCGGTGGGGTGGATGGGGCAGAAAAGGCCCCAGGGCAGGATGGTACCTGCAGCAGCATGCGGAGCCGGGTGATGCGTTGAAAGGGCAGCAGCAGGAAGGACGGCAGCGGGAGACGCTCACACTTGGGCAGGCTCTGCAGCCGACGCAGCTCCGCGGAGAAACGCATGTTCGTGTCCCTGCAGAAGCAGGCCAAGCAGCTCACGCTGCCTCGAGGCATGATGCCCCAGCCTGCCAGGGCTTCAACCCCACCCCTGCTCCCAGCTTCCTCCCGCACCTCTGGGTCACTCACATAAGGCGGCTGTAGGTCTCCTCCTGATACTGCTGGTTCCGCACATAATCCACATACACTGAGAAGGGCCCCACAGCATGGGCGTGCACCACATCGCACAGGTCGCTGATGTGGGGGGAAGAGCGCACGCGGGACAGTAACGTCCCTAGAAACCTGAAGGAGTAGGGAGAGCAGGCGATGAAGGGTGAGGGAAGGAAGAGCTGGGAATTCACTGGGCTGGAAGGAAGGACCTGGGGCAGGGAGTGAGGCCCAGAGGGCCCAGCAGGCTGGCCAGACCAAGACTCCTAGAGGGGGACCCCACTGACCGCTCGCTGACTCCCTGGACTCGCTGCACATTGGAGAAGAGCGTGTGGTGATCCCGAGGGGTCAGCGTGTCCCGGAGCGCCTGACTCAGCACAAAGGTGTCCGTCAGCAGCCGGAGGGAGCGCAGGTAGGAGGCCTCTGAGGTCACCACCTCGAACAGGCTCTAGGAAGGACAGGGCAGTAGAGGAAAGCCCAGCTCCCCACCACCCTAGGAGCCAGGTCATGCTCTTCCCCTATGCAGGGCCCACCCAGCCCATTCCCAGGCATGCCCACCTCCTGCATGCGCCTCTCCTGAGGGCTGAGGGTGTCCAGGAGGCCGCTGGCTTGCACAGCTGGGAGCTCCTGCCATAGGGTGTTGCGAGGTCCAGGGGGCCGTGTGAAGGTGGGAGCTTCTCCAGGGCTTGCTGGAGAGGGACCCCCATGCTCCCCAAGGCCCCACAGCTCCTCTGACAGCACGGCTGCTCGGTAGGTCTGGTATAGAGGTTCTAGAAAGCAGACATAGAGTATCAGGGAAGTCCAGTATCCCCGGATCCTCCCTACTGCTCTATAGTCACAGCAGGAGCTAGGTCCAGAGGCCCTCACCATCCTGCAGGGGCAGCTCCCAGTTCTGCTCCTTCAGCCCCTCCTCCTCCCTGTGGAGACAGAAAGGGAAGTAAGCCCCAGTGCTCACTTGTGCACCTCCTGGGGCTGCAAGTCACAGGATAGTGCAAGGGAGTGCACAACATGCATGCGGGCTGTATGAAGGGACCTGGAGGGCCCACCAGACCGAACCCTAGAACAGCGTATGTGCCTGCTATAGGGGAGGCCCTGATCAAAGTGGGCCCCTTCCATTCCCATTACCTCAACTACTGTACACACTAGACTTCCAAGTCTCTATCTGCAGCCCTTTCAAGTAGCAACCATCATTCAAGTGTACTCTTTGTGCCCCAGTGAAACTCAACATGACCAAATACAAATGCTCCTACCTCCCCGCCATCACCTGTGGCTCTCTCCCCTGTTCTGGTCGCTGGCACTACCATGCACCCATGGGTCCAAGCTAAAAACCACACTGACAAATGTTCATGAGTGGGCCTGTGTTATCTCTGATAACGATGGTAAACCAAAGATGATTAGCAAGCCCAGGCAGCATAGAAGCGAGGGCTGTGGTTGGGAAATGGATTTAAGACAACAGTCGCAATAAAGACTCTGAGTGAGAGAAGGTGATTACAAAAGGGCACACGTATGGGCCAGGTCTTTACTATTGGGTTGTTGGGCAGGTCATGACGCATATTTGGATAGAAAAATATGTCACGATTTTCCAGACAATCTAATAATATCATACCCCAGCGACTTGATGAAGTAGTGGGTGTGCTCATCCTCATTTCATAGATGAGAAAGCTGAGACCCAGAAAGGTTAAGGATTTGCATGAGGTCACGTAACTAACAAGGAACTGAGCTGGGGTTAGAACCGGGGGCTGCTTGTCCTGGAGGTCTTCTTCCATCTACTTTGCAGAGGTGGGACTTAGCTGGACCTAGAGGTTAGTCTGCCCTCAGGTGGGAGCACGGTGCAGAGAAAAGGGGGATAAGGGTGGGCATGTTTTGTACCTTCCCTCCATGGTTGCTGGGGGAGGGTTCTGAGGAGCTCCATCAGGGCTGTCCCCTGGAGAGAGAACCCAGAGTGAAGAGAACAAACCAGGATCTGACTCCAGCTCCTGTAATGACTGTAACTATAAAAACTACAACTCCCATCAGCCCCAGAGAAGAAACTTGTAGAGTAACAAAGAGCCCACAGCCTGTGAGTTGTCTTTCATTGGACAACTCGTAGTCCTCCAGTAGTCCTCGGTCTCTACCCTGCCCCTAGAGGCCCACTCCCCCAGGACCTGTACCTGTTTGGATTCCATCTTCAGAAGGCAGATCGAGATCTGGTTGTGGGGAGGAGTCCCCAGAGATGGTAGTATCCTGCCTGACTCGAGTTGGTTTGGGGGGCTTCAGTGGTGGCAGTAGTTTGTGCTCGGCAGTGGAACGGTAGGATGTGAGGACAACTGGAGGGTGACTGATGCTTGGAGGGTTGGGGCGGGAGCGAGAGGCCCGCAGTGGGGAGGCCCTGCAAGGGGCTCTGAGACCATCCTCACAGCCCCCCACAGGCACCCATCGGAGCTCCAGGCCAGGCCTGGTGACATGGCAGACACAGGGGCAGCCAGGAGGGCAGGAGAGGGCAGCATCTGTGGGAGAAGGGGCATCCTGAGGAGAAAGCCTTTGGGCCCTGGCCCCACCCTGCCCAGGCCTCCTCCCATCCTAACCGGACCAGTAACTGGAACATCAAGGTCCAGCCCCAGGCATCTGGAGATCTCCACCCTCTTCAAACACCCAGAAATACAGAAACCAGATTTTTCCAAGCATGAATCCATTTTTGAAAAGGCAGCTCCTGAAAGTTCCCCGTCTTAAAGCATTGAAAACAAGGATGAGCTGGATTGAGGCCACCCTAGTCCCACCACACACTTACCCGGAGCACCGTTCTCCTGGGACCCAGTCCCAGAGAGGGTACCCTGGAGAGCTTCTTTCTCGCCGTTCACGTTAGCTCCTCCTTGGGGACCTGGCTCCAGGGCGTCTGTAGCTGGGGTCCTGCCTTCAGTCCCCCATTCGAACTTGCCAGCCAGTCTCCGCACAGTCCCTGGGGCTGAGGCAGAGCCACCCTGGGCCAGGCTCCCGGCCGTGGGGAGCAGAGGCAGAGGTGTGCGGGGTGACCCAGAGGGCTTGGGTGGGGGCACTGGAGACCGGCGCGCAGGTTCTGGGGAGACGGAGCGCCTGGACACAGGACTGGGGGTGCTGGAAGGTGAGTCTGGAGAAGTCTGAGAGTCGAGGCTGGTTCTAGAAGCTGAAGGGGGCAGAAGGGCAGGGGGCTTAAGGGATGTGGCTGGGGGCTCCCAGAAGATAGGGGTGCACATTGGGGTTGGTACATCATTGGAGGTTCGAGAAAGTTCTCGTGGAGAAGAGCCATTGTGAGGAGGCCCTGGGGATTGGGCAGCCCTGGGGCGAGAAGGAGGACGGGGGCGGATGATTCGGGGGGGCTTCTGGGTAGGGGCTGCTGCTGCAGGAAGGGACTGGGCCGACATCTTCCTCTGAGCTCTTCAAAGGAGTGGGGTGCTCTGCTGGAGTCATCCCCTGAGGAGGGGGGCAGAAGAGAGAGTCTCTTAGTGCCTCCTAGTGGGTAGACCGAGGCCATCTGTAGCCATGATTTTGGAGGAGGGGAGGGAAGACTAGCATCCTTCTCTGTCTTTCTCATTTCTTTTTTTTTTTTGGGAGAGATTTTCACTGTAGGGCGCATGCACTCGCCAGACAGACAGACAGAGAGAGACATAGAGACAGAAAGCAAGAAATCACCCCCCAGGGGGGATGGTCACGCCGCAATCCCTTCTCCTCCATTCTCCTCTCAGGATCTTGGGCACGCACGCACACGCGCCCGGCGTGAGTTTTAAGCCACCGGGTCCGGGACACGAACCGCGGTCGACTACGTGGGAGTCCAGCGACATAGCCATTACGCTAACTGCTGGTTCCCCATCTTTCTCATTTCTAATGTACTCTCTCTTCTCCACATCTTTCCTCTCGTCTCTCCTTCTCACTCCATTTTCTAGGCACCTGACACTCCTGGGCCGCTTTTCTTGGCCCTCCCAGCCTCCTTTCTCTCTTAAGTCTTTCAACCTCTGCCACCATAGTCAGGCCACAGAAAACAGATTGAGGGGTGGAAGGATGGCAGCTAGGTTGGTGGGGGCAGGGGCTACCAGAAAAATCAGTAAAACTCATCAGGGGCTGCAGCAGACAGTAGTGCAGTGTTAACATAACTGGGCCCACATGGGTTCATATCTCAGGAGTGGAGAAAGATCCAAGCACCAGCTGAACTAGGGGTGGATCATGGTGTGAGGACCCTGTTGAAAGTGCTCTCTCCTTCCTTCTTTCTCTCGTGGAAGAAATACATAAAGAAACTTAAAAACCAGCTTAACAGGTGGCATGTTGGTTAAGGCTCTGGACGCTCCCACATGGCTGACCACGGTTCAAGTCTGGTGGCTTGTTTTCTCACTTTCCCTCTCTCTCTCTATCTATGCCTCTCTCTGGTCAAGTTAAAATAAATTAATGAATAAATAAAATTTTTTTTTTTAAAACTAAAAGCAGCTTAAAGGACCAGCAGGCATAGTGGTTAAGGCGCTGGACTCCCACATGTTCGACCATGGTTCAAGTCCAGGCGCAACAGCTTAAAACTCACATTGGGCACACATGTGTGTGCGTGTGTGTGTGTGTGTGTCCAAAACCTTAAGAAGAGAGTGGAGGAGAAAGGATTGTGGCATGGCCATCCCACTGGGGAGTGATTTCTCACTTTCTCTCTCACCATCTCTCTCTCTCTCTCTCTCTCTCTCTCTCTCTCTCTGGTGCCCTATAGCAAAAAAAAATAAAAATAAAAATCCTCTTCAAAATAAAAACAGATTAAGGAGAATTCGACTTGCCAGTATGTGCTTCGTGTCTGCTGATGAACTGTGTGTCATGGAGCTGTGTATGTGGTGTAAGTGTACTGCATCTAGTGCTAGGCAATGGGGCGTTGTATGGTATGTGGTGTGTTTTGAGAGTGTACCTTTAGAGCTTCCTGGGTAGGTATCCAGGGCAAGAGTGGAGTATAGAGTGGGAAACCTGTTACAGAGTATGAGGTGTGAGTGTACAAGACGGGGGGGTGCTGCGTGCGTGAGGGGGTGTGCAGCTTGTGTGCATGCATGTATGCCCGTGCCTGGATAGGGAGGGATGCATCACTGTTTCCCTGCTCCAAAGAGCCCTCCGCCCCCCATTTCCCAGTTCCTCTCTCCGGACTCTCCCTTTCCGGATTATTTTTAGTCTCCTCTTCCTGCCATGAAGATTCCTGGAGCCTCTGACCTCAGGAGACCAGGAGGCCCTACCACAGTCTCTCTTGTCTGCCATCCTCTTATCCCCGCCTACCCCCAGGTCTGGTGACAGAGAGGCCCCAGTGGAGGCCTGAGTCTCGTCACGATGTCTGGGAGGTGCCCAAGAGGCCCGACTGAAAGATAGGATCAATAGAGCCAGGATACCAGGGCCTGGGCTTCTCTTCCTCACACTGGGAGGGAAGCTGCCATCTTAAGAAGGCTGTGGGGACAGGGCTGGGAAACACAGGAGCCCCCAAACTCCCTTCAGGAGTCAGCAGGAGATTGTGGGTCTAAGCTGGATCTTGCCAGTTAAATGGCCTCTGCATCCTGGCAGGAAGCCACTTAATGAGATGACCCATGCAGTGGCCTCAACGACTGGCCAGCTCCTCCCAGCCCCTGCCCCTTTAGAGATCCCTCCCCCCATACCTGCATTCATGTCCTTCCCAACCCCCACCCTGGCCTCTAGTAGGGACCCAGGTCCTGGGGGGTCCCAAGCACTCACCCTTGAGTCTCCTCCACTCTCAGTCACCTCCCAGGGCTGAGTGAGTAGGGGCAGGAAACAGGAATTGGATCCTCCTCCCAACCGGACACCCCCCCACACACGGCACCACACTCCACATGCGCACACCAGGGCTCTGGAAGACGTGAAGGACCCAGTATCCAGGGCCTCAGAGGTTAACAGGGTCCAGGGGAAGACTGGAACTCGGGCAGGGAGAGAGGGCTGTCCTGCATGTGCACAGTCCACCTGCATTGCTGTGTGGACAGGGGCTTGCAGGGTTGGGGGCACAGGAGAAGACAGGGCTGTGATGCAGGGGCTGGGCGAGCAGTACGGCAGGGGCATCGAGATGGTGCATCATGTCTGACCAGCTCTCCTGTGTCTCACACAACCGCTTGTCTCTGTAGCTTCCAACTTATCCCCACCCTGCCATGTGTGAGCCAGCCCACTATTTCATAGCGAGGGAACCCCCAGGCTTCCCTCCCTAATCCTGCAACAGCTCCCCATGAATTTACCTTTCTCTTTTGGACAGCAGTTCCTATTTTCAGCCTGTCCTGCCTGCCCCTCAGAGCAAAGACTTGCGGGGGCCGAGGTCTCCAAGACTCTGTTCCTGTGTTTCTGGGGCGGGAACTGAGGGCCCAGATTGAGATCTTTGCAAAGGAAGCCGGTTCCTCAGCCCCACCCGGCCATTGTGTCAGCCGTGTGTGTGTGTGTGTGTGTAGAGGAGGGAGAGGACCAGGACTGGGATACGAGGGTGAGAACTCAGGGAGGGAGATCTCCTCCGGGTGGGCCTGATCTTTTCTGAGCCATTCTGCTCTCCATTCTCATCTGTTTCTCTAATGGCCAGCCCCTGACTCCCTGTCCCACTGAGAAACTTGGGTGTTGATCAACTGGGAGTTAGTACTTTGGGGTTGGTTAGGGGTCCCTCTCACCTTTAATTTGCTCATGGTTGAGGAACTCAGTTCCCAGTTCTGGGGGTGTGTCATAAAACAACTGAGGGGGTGGAGGGAACCACACCCTCTCCTGAGAAGTAGAATAGTAAAAGAAAGATCCAAGGGGCAGTAATAAACTCTGGGGCCTCAGCCCATGCCCAGGTGCCTGCCTGTCAGACCTCCACACACACATTCACACAACACTCACACACTCTAACAAGACCTCAGAGGAAAACCTAACAGGCTGGCATAAAAACATGTCGTAACTATTTTTCTCAAGTGAAAACTGAAAGTCCTTATAGAGATTGACAGGCCCTGTAGGATCTACCCACTGCCCTGATCTAACCTTTCCTCTAGACACACTTCTGCCTCAGGGTCTTTGCACTAACTGTGCCTTCTGCCTGGAAACCTTCCCAAAACATCTCTGTGGACAATTTCTCACCTCCTTTGAGTCAGTGAAAGATTCACCTTCTTACTGAGGCCTGTCCCAACCACTCTTTAAAACTGCTACCCATATGGTTGAGGGGAGGAGGGGGGCGGGGGTGGTTAAGGGTGCTGGACTCCCACATGGCTGATCGCAGTTTGTAGTCCCAGACCTGGTGGCTTGCTTTCCTCACCTTCCCTCTCCCTGTCTCTCTCACTCTGTCCCTCTCTGGTCAAATTTAAAATAAATAAAATAAAATAAATAAAGTTAAATAAAAATAATAATTGAAAAAAAGAATTGTGAGAGAGTGGATCTTCAGGCTTCTGAGCGGTCACTCTATATTCCCAAGCAACAAAAGAGAGAATTAAAAATGGGTGATGTTGAGAAAGGCAAGAAGATTTTAGTTCAGAAGTGTGCCCAGTGCCACACTGTGGAAAAGAGAGGCAAGCACAAGACTAGTCCAAATCTCCATGGTCTGTTTGGGCAGAAGACAGGTCAGGCCCCTGGATTCTCTTACAAAGATGTCAACAAGAACAAAGACATCACCTGGGGAGAGGATACCCTGATGGAGGATTTGGAGAATCCCAAGAAGTACATCCCTGGAACAAAAATCATCTTCACTAGCATTAAAAAGAAATCCGAAAGAGCAGAGTTGATAACTTATCTTAAAAAAGCTACTGGGACCAGCAGTTAGCGTAATGGCTATGTCGCTGGATTCCCACGTAGTCGACCGCAGTTCGAGTCCTGGACCCGGTGACTTAAACTCACGCTGGGCGCATGTGTGTGCGTGCCCAAGATCCCAAGAGGAGAATGGAGAAGGGATTGCGGCTTGGCCATCCCCCCTGGGGGGTGATTTCTCGCTTTCATATCTCTGTATCTCTCTGTCTGTCTGGCGAACACACGCGCCCTATAGCAAAAACCTCTCAAAAAAAAAAAAAAAAAGT